CAGCCATTCCTCCTTCAGACCCGCCCCGCGGCGGCACCTCAGCGGGAGGGAGGCCGGGACAGCCCGGCCCGGCCGGCCCGACTCTGCGGGCGGCGGCCCTCAGCGCCCCGAGCCGGAGCCCTTAGCCCGGCAGAGCTTGGTCGCTGGTAAAGGGGCCTGGGGGCTCCTTCTTCCAGCAAGGGGCAAAAATGGGGCTGATAATTTACAGTACTGTCTCCACGCCCTGGAGCAGCCTCACGGCCGCCGCCTTCACCTCTGCAGAAGGGATGCCAAGTGTTTGAAAGCTGGTGTAGTGGACGGTTTTGCTTTTCTTAGGCTAGACAAGGTTTCCCACGGCTAAAAGCTGCAGAGAAGGTTTTATGTGATCATATTCTCCTGTTTTTCCCTGCAGCACAGCTCCCGGGGTCTTTTGTCAGGTTGCTGCAAGCCTGAAGAAGAAAAGGGCCCATGTGAGGGTGGAGAGAGGTGCAGCGGGCTGGGAGCGAGCAGAAAGGCAAGGTGGTCATGAAAATGCCACTGAGAAGCAGCCAGGCCTGCAGGGTCTGAGCAAAAAGCCACTGCTTTGCTTAAACCCCACTAGCCAGCCTCAAATACAGCGCCCAAAGCTGCGCCCTCAAAAAGGAGCAGAGAACTTGTTAGGTGCCTGCACAGGCATGATGCTTTGGGAGTGCAAAAGGAGGAGAAAGTGTATGGAAAGATGCACACACACGTGCAAAAGGTCTGCAAGGAAAGCGGTTCACACCAAACCCAACCTCCTCCCAGGGAAATGCTCACAGGAGAGCTGCTGTAGCAGCTCGGTGTGTTGGCGCCCTGGCACAGAGCCGCTCTCCGAGGGTTTGAAACACACCCTCGGCTTCTGAGTGCACGTTTTTGAGTCCCCAGTGCCAGAGGGGAATGGTGGTAATCCATCTAGCTTTCCTGCAGCTCCACTCCTGCTGCTCCGTGGCAGGATATCAGTCCACAGACGCCAGACTCTGGCTGCAAACACGGTTTCCTGTAACTGTTACTATTTGGGCTCGAGCAATCCGGAGGAGAGAGGCACGATCTGCAAATCGAACCCGTTCGCCTTGCCTGGTTCAAGATCAAAAGGGGAATGGAATCGATGGGATTTTCAGAAGCCATCGGTGCTGGCTAGCACTGCCACCTTCCCCTGCCTGCAGTCCTTATACCATTAGATGAGGCAGACCTGGGCCAAGAAATGTCCCCTGGAATGAATTGGCTGCCGGTCTGGAAACCTGACTCAATGTCTGTTTGGCCTTCCTTGAGTCAAAGGGACCAGATCTCAAAACCAGACAACAGGGCTAGGTGGAGCTCCAGCCCTCAGCTTGGTCGGCCCGTGCTCCCCTGTGTTTGTGAAAGGCTTTCTAGGCAGGGGATGGGCTCAGGCAGAGCTTTCTGAGGTGGGCTTGCCCCAGGGCTGGCCGCTCTTTGGGAGATGCCTTTGCTGAGTTGGCAAGCATCTTGACGGAGCAGACCCACCACCCTCCTGTGGGCTCCTCCACGTTCCTTCCTTGGTTTCTAACCCCAATGTACAACTGCTACAGAGGCTCTGTGTGACCCCCTTCTGTGTCTGCTCATGGGCAGGGAAGCAGCCATATACATCTCAGTTCCCTGTGCCTGATGGTAGCAGAAGACAGCCCAGAGCAGCATTCTAGCTGTTGCATTGTCTGCAGCCCTTACGGATTTAATGGAACTAGATTTAATGAGCTCCTCCAGCTGCAAAAAGTGTTGTGTTGGACTGCTGGCCAGCAATGAGGTCTCGTCCAGAGGAAAAAAGCACGTTAGTCCATGGGCTTTCATACACATGGCCCCTGACCAAAAGCCATAATGCCTGTGTGCACAAGGGGATAGTTACTGCAAGGGACAGGAACTTCTGTACTTCAGTGCCTTCCCAGCAAGAATGCAATGCCAGTTTTCAAAGCTGTTAGGAACAGGCCACTCCTGCTCAGCACAATTTTTCTTTAAAATAGATTTGTTTATTTACTCTGTGTCATTCGAAGCTGCCTCTTCTCTCTTCTCCCACGGGTAAAGCGCAGACAGGCAAGAAAGGGGAGCAGAGGATGCAGTAGTGTTTACTTGCAATATAGTAGTTGTCCCCATGGACAAAGCAGAGCCCCAAAGAGGAACAAAGTGGAGGGTAAACAGGACAGACGAAGCTGGAATGCCAGTGTCTGGATTGCTCGTGATTCGAGGTTCATTCGGTTCTTGCAGCAAATGCCTACGTTTAACCACTCTCTTCTCTCTCATCCACATATTTATATGTATTTATGTACTTACAGACATGCTGCAACGAAAGGCAGAAAGTTTTTACATACCATATCCCATTATACTTTCTAGCAGAAGTTTATCTCCTGAACCAGGCTTTTTTTCTCTTTTTTTGTTGGTTTTTTTTTTTTTCCTTAAATGCACGTGTAAACCAACCCATCCCAAGTTGACCTAATAAGTTCTTCTGCGGGGGTGGTGGAAAGGGAGTGGCTGTGATTGCTGTCTCAGCCTTGGAGATGGCCAGCACTGGAAATCCATAGGTGTTTAAAAAAAAAATCCCATGGAGAAATACACTGTAAATCTGTATCACTCTAAGTGAGTGAAATGGGAAAATGTAGATTTGCAAACAGGTTAACATTTGGCCAAGACCTCGGAAATGCCTTTTCCAAGTCTGGAGAAATAATTTTATGTCCAGCATACCTGACTGCTCCTACCAGACATATGTCTTGCAAGCTGAGGGCACAGGCAGGAGGTTGGAGCAGATGACCTCCCAAGGTTCCTTTCAGCCTGAATTATCCCATAATCCTAATAATAATCAGCCAATGCTTCCTGTAACTGGAACAGTGCTGAAGTCCATGGACTGTTTCTGAAGACTGCAAAAGGCAGTTGCTGCTTGTTTGAGGTATACCAGGCAGATCCTCCACTGGCATAAGACAGCAGAGCTCCAGAGGAATCAGGATCTGCTGGCTCGCTGTCTTGGAGCACATTACTTCTAGAAACCTGCCCTGGCCAGGCCCACCACCAGAAGGGACAAGCAGCCAGGGCAGGTGATCTCACTTGGCCCCTCTTCCCTCCATGGCCCGCAGTTCATTATCTGTGGGTGGCCTTTCGGACTGCTGCACTGATCCCACCCGACTTGAAAACCAATCCACCCAGCAACTGGGGCCTGGGACTCTCTCAAGGAGAGCTTCCAGTATCTAAAAATAGCCAGTAATCCAACACAGCCAACACACACTGACTCGCTCATTAGGCGAGACCTTGTCTCCAGCTCCTGACACTGAAGCAATGAAAAAGAAAAAAGTAAAAGAAAAAAAAAAAGGCAAGGAAAATTCCTTCTGATTCTTTGGAGGAGCCCTCAGCCATGGGCAGCCAGCTCAACCACCCCACCACAGTCACTAACATTTCCCACTGCCTCTCCTGAGCAGACACATCCTTCCACTTGCCATCCTTTCTCAGCCGTGCTCCTCGTTCTCCAAGTGAAATGGGGCATTCACCCACCCTGGCCCCATCCCGCTCCTGAAAACAGGGTGCTGGATCCCCATCAAGCACCACTCGGATGAGAAAGGAATCAGCCCATCTATTGGGGCACCGCTAGACAGTCCCTGCCCTGCAGGACTGGGGCACAGGTCTGCTCCTCTCTGCACAGCCCACCTTCCCGTGTCCCTTGCCACCAGCCCCCACAGCCCAGCGGTGGTCTCCCTTCTGCAGGGTGGCAGCCCCTGTGAGCAGCATGTACTTGTAAAGCTAATCGCACGGGGTGTGGACATACAAAGACCCATGGCTTAACCCTTCTTTCTGCACTTTGTCACTGGGATTATTGCAAACAAGTTTCCAGTTTCAGGGTTGTGAAAGCCCTCTCTGTGGACTTAGAAGGTCTGTCTCACCTGAACGTGGTGGAGAAGAGAGGGGGCAGGAGTGAATTCCTATTAACCCATTGCTTTTACTTCCTGGAATTAAGCCAGTGCTTGCATTTAGTGCCAGACTGCACAGCGCAAGACTGAGAAGAGAAATGCACCTCCGTCTCTCTCGTCTCTGGATTAACAAGGACATCTTGAGAGTCTTGCAGCCAGGCAGGGCACTCTCTTCTGTGATTGAAAAGGACAATTATTTATACCTGGTGCTAAAATGAGTGGTTAGCCCCATCACCACCACCACCTCCAACGCCCTTTCCAGAGGCACCACCTTTTAAATCCCCCAAGGTTCCTCCCAGACCTGCCAAGCAGCAGAAGACAGCTGTATTATGAAATACTTCGCAATTGTAACTGCTTCGGTGCCAGAGTAACAGTCAAGCTGTTCTTTAAAAAAAAGAAAGAAAGAAAGAAAGAGAGAAAGAAAGAAAAAAATTGCCGTAACCATAACTGTAATTCACGCTTAGCTCAGTCTATAAAACCTCTCCCTTCCTGGATCTAAGCCAACAGCTTGAATTCTTAGTGAACTCTAAAGTTAGGTTGCCCTGGTGATAAATGCATCTGTGGGGAAAGAGGGGGGAAAAAAATCCCTCGTCCCCCCATTTTTAGCACAGCTTAACATTTGTCTGTGGAATTTGTATAGTTTCTAAAGTGGACGTGAAGATGTACATTAACAAGGGGCTGCAACAGAAAACAGGAATGAGAGATGGGAGGAGAACTTAATTCCAGCAT